CTCCCCTATTGGAGATTGGTGGAACTGTGGACAGGAAATGATAGAATGGATAAGAAGGAATTAGGAAGAAAGTGATTTTTTGCAGAGGGGATGGGCAAGCGATCTTTATAGCAGCACCACCCTGCGAAGGAGGCAGAACATTTCATGCCATGTGAGGAGCCGACAAGCCAAGTACATATATTCTCTGTAGAATGAGGCATCTCAGGCATCGTGGTTCATTGTCTCGCCTGCCTCTGCGCCATCGGCGGGTGCGGTTGCTTCCTTGCCAATCCCGGCTGGTGCTTTTAAGAGAACACTTGAAGAGCCATCGGGAGAGATATCGACGATACCTGACAGCACTGTGGCTCTGAGTCCCCACGCGCAAGCAGCTACAACAAGACAAAGATTACAAGAAGTTTAGCGCTGCCGTTCCGTTTCCAGATGTGTCCAGCCTCCCACCCCTGCCTTCCACGCATTTATGTCTTCCAGGAGGTCATATCCTGATACGAGGCTGATCAAATTGATCCTGACGATCTCTGCAGGTGGCACACTGTGGCCTTTTTCTTCGGCTGGCGGTGCCTCTGCTGTCGCCTGGTCCTGCAGTCGCAAGATGCGCAGTGAAGGAAGCACCACAAGTAGCCACAAACACCCTGGGCTTCTCTTGTAGGGAGAAATGCATAGCTCAGCACGTGCCTGCTTGCTACCTGCGCTGGGAGCTGCTGCCGAACCTGCACTGAGCGATGCGGCCGCTCTCTCTTTATTGGGACACCAAACCGGCACCTGCTGCCAGCGGCTGCTCTGCCAGCCGCTTGTCAGAAGCCTGCACCACGACATTCGAGAAGGATGATGCCCTGGATGTTTACAGAGTGAGAGTGCGGCATGTGCGCCGCCTCGCCAGCTAGGCCAGCAAAGCAGCCGCATAATGAACCCATCGCGTGGCCACAGGCACGCCAAATTACGTAAGTGTGAGAAGACGTTGGCTGCCTCGTAAAGGGTTCGTGTGAGTACTGCTTCAAGATTTCAAAAGGTCCCGGGATCTATGATTCTACGAGCTCTTGATCTCCTCCCATGGCAGTTTTGCAAAGGATCTGCAAAGAGCCGTACTCGGCAGCACGTGCACATCGTGCCACAACGCACCTTGATGCGAGAAGTGCTGAGAAAGAGACAAGCTCTGTGAACCGAACCGGCCCGCCTGGCAAAGCAATGTCTCGTCTCGGGTCAGCGCCGATCATCACTCTGTAGCAGACGACGAGCTCGTGCTACTTTATTGAGTATCGTTGAGTGGTCGCATCGCGTGCTCCCGCTGCCACAACGCCCGTGGACGCCGTCTGACTTATGTCAAAGAAAAGTCCGGACCCATTGGTTTCGGCATCTGCTAGGCTGCCCAGGCCTCACACCAGCATGACCTCAAGCCTCGAAGCCCTACTACTTTGCTATGGAAGTTCAAGGCAGGGCAAGCATCGTGCCCAAGACTCAACGACCGGCTCATGGAACAATACAACAGTTGAATGCGCGGACCTTTCGGCTTTCTCGCGGTACTTGCTGCATGGAGTTTCGAACTCGTGCCAAAAGAAAGCCAGCCCAAGCTTCGTGGGGCTTTGCACACTTGACAGTCACAGTGAGGAGGAGGGACAGAGGGGCTCTGTGCTAGCCTTAGGCTTTACCAGGCTCATGTTTCACCTGCACCTGACTCCGTGGCCTGTACGGGTCTGCCAACTTCCAATGCTGCAGCTAGAGGCTTCCCTGTCCATGACACGTTTATGTAGCTGGCTTAGTTGTCAACGTCTCCTCGATTCTGCAACCCACCTGCTGTCCCAAACCCAATGAAACAAGGGCATTTGGAATGTCAATTGTTTGGTAGCTTTTGGTCCTTCTTTTTTTTTTTGGAGGGGGGGGGGGGGGGAAGGGGTCCTGCAGTTTACTTTGAGATGTCTACATTGGTTCTTCTTTGCATGCTCGAAGGCTGTTGTTGCTTACGACATACGCATGTTGATTTTGCGCTCAGCTGTCTCATTGCTCGTCCGCCCGTTGCCTTCCTCTACTTTAGTGTGCTTGCTTTGTTTCGCCTATTTACTTGTTTTGCCACCCGCACGCCTATTGAATTTTTGCATTTTACGTTCATGATTTGCTTTTGGGTTCTCGCTTTGCACTTTGTTTGCAGCGTGCTGTCTGGGTGTCTGAGTCTGTCTGTCACCTTTGTTGCGTTTGGTTGCGCTGTGCTCTGTATAACTAGTTGTTTGCCTTTGCTTTTCGTTTTGTTTCAGTGCGCTCTCACTGGAAATGACTACTGCATTTTGAGGCAAGATGCAGCTTCCGTCTTGCAGAAAGATGGCAAAACTCTCGTAGTCAGCCCATGAAAGCAATACGTCGAAACAACCGGTCGAAACCGAAAGATCCCAAGCAAACAGGCCGTCGCCTCAAGACGGCCCTTCACCTCTTGCATGACTGCCTTCAAGGCCGCGCCATCTGCATGGAGCTCAGTGCCGGGATCCTGGAGCAGAGTGTCTCTGCACGGGCTTCTTGGGACTTTCCCGGCAGGCCTGCGCAACGTTGCTAAGCTCTTGGGAGGTCGGCCTTCACCGTCTTATTTGGCACGAGCCCAGGTATTCTGTGGAACACATAACTTCGTGACTTCAGTGGCTTGGCCTGGGCAGCAGCACGAGGGTTTCGGACAAGAGTATCTTCGTCAAAGATAAGCCTGGACGCATGACCGGAACTCGACGGGATATCTTAGATGATCCCTTCATCTTGGCCACTACTTCAGGAATTGAAACAACAAGGTGCCTGATGCGGCCAGCTTTCCGAAGGATCGACCTCAGAAGGCACAGCCTCAACACATCAACAAAAGAACTTTCGTGAAAAACCGAGAGACGAGCTCAGGTTTGCAACGTCTTGCCCACTGGGAGAGAACCGCCTCTGTTGCGATCGCCGAGGGACCTCATCGGAACCCTGTCCTTTTGTGACATCTGCTGTTGGTGCCCTGCTAAGAGACTCGCTGTGTCTGCAGCTACATCCAGGAGTGACAAGTTTTGGGTCTTCGATGTTCCCGTGGACCATGCAACAGCTGCTAGCTCCTGACTGGACTTGCACGGCATGACTCCGGGAAAGCTGTAGAGGCGGACGCTACTGGAACGGCAGCTTGCGGTCGTATTTGGTCCTGCGGCCGGGCCTCGTCTACCTGTGACGGAAGTGCAGGTCGGCCAGGAGGTATGACATGCAGAGAGCTCAGATGTTGGTCGACTTCATCTGAAGCTGTGACGCATGTACGCAGTGTCGATGGCATCATGTCAGAGGACAACCTGGAGGTTTGCATCTGTGGAGATACCCTGGAAATACAGCCATCCTGTGAATCCAGTGTCCGAGGAAGCGTCGCATCCTAGAACTTCGACTTGGTGTAGGCTCGGCCTGAGCCGAGATCGGTATACCCACGAGGTTCATTGAAACAAAGAAAGCCACTACTAGGAATGCTGGGGAGCGAACCTATGTTCGCTAGCCTGGGAATGCAAGATGGCTCATCTGCGTCACGTTGTCAAATCAATGTTCAGAGCTTGAACCTTCAACGCCCGTCAACCTAACTTGGAGGATTAGAGTCATGGGAGTTGACTGAAGGAGGCATCCAAGCACGCAGCCCTTGGCTGCCGAAACTTTGCATTTGGCCTTTGCACCTCCGCATGTCAAGCGAAGTTGAACCACTGCCCAAGCCCTGCTGTTGTCATGTGACAGGCCTCGCATAAGTAGCATCTAAAGGAGCCAAATCCTGGACGGCACTCTTCCAGTCATTTTGAGTCAACCGTCACAAGCAGCGAAACCTCAGCAGAAACATCGGAACACTGAGGGTCAAGCCGTAGAGCTTGGCGTAGCACGAGCTCGAGCCATGTTTGCTGAGCCTGGATCTTCACACGAATTCGATGCCTTTGACACCTCGGCTTGGCCTAGGCTACTAGACCACCAGGCGGTGGGACCCTGAGCGTCCACTTCAGCGATGAGCAGCCTCACGCCCGCACTGCTCTGAACCCTTCACGTTCCCTGATGCGTTGCGACGTTCCCGGGGTGACCAAGGATCGTGCCTTCATCGATTGGCGAAAGAAGCCATCAGCACCTCGTGCATATAACCTCAGAACAGCACGACGCCAACAATCGAAGCAGGCTTTGAGGCTTGCATCGCGCAGTCGAGGCGGACTCGAGGCGGTGCCACCGCCGGGCGGCCTCGTGGCCCAAGCCTAGTGGGCTAGGCCGGCGTCGCCCGCTTTCTCCCACTTTCTGACTTGGAACGTGGCCTACAACATCTCTGGGCGTTTCTAAGGCCAGCAGCAGCTCTCTTTGGAGCTGCACAAGTATTGGGGAGGAACAGCGCCGGAGTTGAGGCTCAGCTCAGCTCATCGGCAAATGGTACATGGGGCTCACTTGCTCTTTGCCATAAGGAAAGACTCTGAGCTGGTACCTGACATTCGCATCTCAGCATACTGAGTCAGACTGCGCCTGGCACAAGTTCCAGCACCCACCTCGCTTTCCAGGAGAGAGGCACGGCAAGAGCTCCGGTCTGGAACCCTGGCCTTTGGAGCATTGGAGACTTAGAGAATGGATGACAAGATGCTTTAGAGCCCTCAGCTCCGGGCATGGCAAGCCACTTCGATGCCCGGCCTTCGCACTCACAACCGGGGCACAGCAGGAGCAGCGAGCACAGCTTTTGGTTAAAGAGGTTGCGATTAACAAAGCCCAAGCTGCATCAAGTAGAGCAGGATCAGCATGGCTGCAGGGGCCGCCTTTCACGAAAATGCAGAGCTGCATAGAAGCTTCCGGACAGATCTTGACCTTGCCTTCCGGGCATTGGCAGGCATGGCGGCATACTTTGTATTCCAGCAGTCAGCTGGCAAAAACCGATGCACCCTTTCTGGTGAAAGGTGAGTGAGGCAACGGCCATTAAGCCAGTGCTCAATCTATCAGGCAATTCGTTGCAAAAATTCACTTCAACACGAGGCCTGGATGATTTACAGTGCGCCCGATGTGGAGGCTCAACGAGGTCAGGCAGCAGCAATCGATGGCAACGCAGCGGCCGCAATGCACTGGCCTACTGCCTTGAAGTGGTCGTCGGCCGTGTGAAACTGGATGCCAGAAATTTCAGGAAATTCGGTCTCCAGCACCTTCTTCGCTGTGCCCAACATGATGTCACCGCCCGCACCCTTGCTTACACGGCCCAGGATCATGACATGATCGATGGGGTAGAACCTTGCTTCCAAAATTGCGCATCATCCCACATCCCGACAGTACTGGCCCGACCCCTGCATAACCCCTTTTGTCCTAAACATCGGGCCTGCTCGGGTCGGCTCAACGCAACTCAAAGCTCGAACATTCCTAGACCTGTCTGGGCTGCAAAGCCCTTGCAGAGCCGAGGTACTCGCAGTACTGAGCCAAGGCATAGCCCAGGTACACACCCATGGTGATGTAAAGTTTCTCCACCTGAGGCTTCTGAGCCGGATTTTCCATGGCCTTCTGGATGAGCTTGAGGCACTGGGCATGGTCCTCGTGCTTGATTGAGCACATGTCCGGATGGGGATAGACGTAGTTCGGCGGCACCTTCACGCCGGCCTTGGCAGCCAGCTTGGTCCTTACTGAGACAGCCCGCACAATCGCCCCTTCAACAATTAACTTCGGTCAGCTTTCGTCATGCAAGAGTCGCTCCACGCTGCCCCAGGTACATGTGAGAGATGCCAGTGTGAGAGCCCTTTGTCCAAGGGTCCGTTGGGGCCTCCGAGCTGCTTGGTTGAAATGCATGCATGCGCAGCCGCAAGCGCTCGCTTGCTGCATGGACTCGCACAAGTTTTCGCGGCAGAGAACAGCAGCGTGGCAACTTCCTGCCTCTGGGTTCATATCCAACTTGACGTAGCACAGCTCGTTAATCCAGCCCATGAGGTTTCCTTGGATGCAACTCGCCCAAAGAAGACAAAAGCAGAAGACCAGATCATCTCACGACATACTGGGCAAGTGTCCGTCGGCATTCGCATAGCCGGCGCCCTCACTGCTGCCCATTGAAATGCCCATGATGTTGCCCTTGCCATCAAGCTTCTGCACGGCAGCTAGAGCAGTCACTTCCCCGTCATTGATCACTTTGAGCGGCACGGAGCCCGCCACATCCTTCGCGATGCGCTGGAAGATGTCGACCACCTTCTGCTTGTAAATGGGAGGAGGCACATTTGGGAAAATGTCGCACCAAGTTGCCTCGTTGTTTGCGCCAACCGTTCCCGTGGCACTGCCTCCTATGGCATCAACTTTGGGAAGCTTCTCTTTGGCAAGCTTCAGCGCATCGGTGACAGCTTTGAAATGGTAATCGGGATCGGCGTTGGTCACCTGAAGTAAAGCGCCCATTCTCAGGGACGGGCTTGCACACACTTGCCTGTCAAGCATGGACATGCATGTTGCAATCTAATTACAGTGTAGATCACGGGACAACTGCGCTGCAAGTCACATCCCACTCGGTCTCTTTGGAGTACACAACTTCGCCATCCTTGACGGCAACCGTTTTGATGTCACTTTTTCCCAAATCAAAAGCCAGTCGGCAGCCATCCGCGACTTTGCCACAAACCTGCGGTGTGTCCTTGCCCACGGGCAGTTCCTCTACGTTTGCCACAACTTTGACCTCGAAAGCTTTGTCCGAAGTTCCACAAACGTTCGGCATCGACATTACCTCGAAGTCATACTTGCCGCCTTTGGAAAAATCCCGCTTGAGGGCTTCGCAGATGTGCGGTGGACCACACAGGAGGAGGCCGGAGGCACTTCGCTGCCAAATCATTTCCTGCAGCGGGGCTTTCAGGAGAACAGCTCGAATCACGTCACAGTGGCTTATTGCAAAACGTCGCCGCTCTTGTCTTGTGGTCAGTTCTCTGACGTGAAGCTCTGAATTACTATGGCATCCTTCGCCTTTCAACATAAGATCTTACACGCAGCAGTCACGGTAGTTCGGATAGACTCTAGGAACCTGGATCAGGATGCCGGCCAGGTAGATGGATGCTTCTTGATCACCATGCCCTTCCGGAAAGACCGGCAACTTGTACCGCCCGCAGCCGTCAGCTCTCGGCAGGGCCCATTCCAAGTACACCGGATTCCTCAAGGAATGACACACCTACGTGCCCACGAACCCGGAATGCCGACGAACCCGGCATTTTCTACTAGGGCCTAGGGCCACTACAGTCCCAAAAAAGTCCCTTGAACTACGAAGCAGCATGCTTTGTTGCGTGTGTTGATTCGGGAAGAAGCACGCAAGAGTAAAGTTGACGAGGTGCCCAGGGAAGATGTAGCCCATGAACCCCTCCCATGTTCCACTGGCAGCGGCGACTGCCTTAAGGTACTTCCGCTTTGCCAAGACCAGCGGAGAGAAGTTGGGATCGAGAGGTGCTGGCACGGCAGGCCGCACGAGGAGGAGCTTCATGGCGGCTTCCGGCATGGATGCCATGATTCCGAGCGTCTTCGGCACGGGCCCCTATTTAAAAAACAATAAAATCATTGAGCCTTCATGTGGCTGCGGCCTAAGCGGCGTGTCCAAACCGAAGGTCCCCAGATTGAATTTCACCTACGCTGCTTCTTGACACGCGACACCCAACCTCAGAGATGAGATAGTATGGCAGAAGGAGGGCGCACGGCCAATACTGCCTTAGTAGCACGTCCGCCATCCACTTCGTGCCGCTGACATTTCAAGCTAATCTATAGGCATGACAGCTGTCAAGAATCCAGGGCCTTTGAAACTCAGTCTGAGAGTCTACTCGCAGCCACGGGACTTGTCGGCACAAACCAAGTAGAGAATGCAGGCGGACCGAAACAGGAAGGATGCCACACATGCTGTCACCACAGCCCAAACACGGAAAACACCTTAGGAGATCAACAAATGTTCATCTGTTTTCTGCTTTGCTTCACAATACGGCAGCAGAAGTGCTGCTCAGTCACTCCCCAACACGGCCTCCACTTGGATAGATGAAGGCGCGGGCAGATGGTCTGGGCTCCTCAGGCTCCTGGCGCTTTTCAGCTTTCCGATGTTTGCGCACTCTGCGTGCTCGGCAATTGGCAACAAGGGAGAGCACATTGGTACACATTGCGACTTAGACGACTAAGGCCTGGCGGCAGCAGAGTCGCTTGCCTCCAAGCCACCACGTTCACGTGCCAGTTGCAAGCGCGAAGCTCTGCATGCCCATCAGGCAAACAGCAAGCTGGGGCCATGTTCTTTGCCGGGTGCATCTAGAATATGGTACAGAGATCATGCTTGTGCCTGATCTGCTAGGCAGGAGCCCGGGGTGCATATGTACATTATGTAATTCTGCGGGCAGCTGGATCGCACAACCCGCTTTCTCACAGAAACAATCACATTCGTTAGCTCGTCAGCTTACATGCTGGATGACGTCACAGGCCAGGATTCCGACATTGGAAAACCCTAGCCTGGAGTGCTGCAAAGCACGAATTTGCCACATATCACCGCCAGGTGGCTTTTCAGTCCTCTAACCCTGCGAGGCTCCTCGAATGGCAAAAAGGTCGGAACAAGTGTGATCTAAGCCTGGGCCTCAGAAGCCTCATTAAACATCATGGAAATGAAGAGAACTATTGGACACTCATGACAGCGCTCCATCGCGGCCGAGCTGCCTTGCGACTTTTTGTTGCAGGCTGTACTGGTCGACATCCACACTCAATTCACGATTCTTTTGTCGGCGTCCCGCTAGGGTAGAGCTTTGCTCATCCACCTGCCCAAGCAAGGCAGTGATGCTCAAACTACATCACACAACGCACAAAGACGCATGGCCACGCATACTCAGAGAATATGGAAGGCTGATGTAATTCCGAAATCCAACTTAAGACGTTCGTATAAGAAACGCGATCGGCATTCCGTGGTCAAACTCACCTCTGCTTCTTCAGAGATTGGCGATATTGGGCAAGGGCGCCCTCCGTGCTGCTCTGAGATTGACTCATCAGAGCGGCGGAACCTGGCACAAACAAGGTAGCACGCGCGCTGCAGTGCCCTGCGTTTTGTTGGCATGCGTTGGGTGTGGTTAAGTTGGAAAGTGTAAAAAACCGAGGTTTTGACTCATTCCGGTTTTCCGAACCAGGAAGACATGCCACTGATCCCTCGAAGGGCGGGCGCTTTTTCTTGAAAATGAGTGTTTCGCCTAGGCGGGATCCTTGTTTTGAAAGGCAGGAAAACCTAAAAGTTGTGTATACCATGTTTTAGGTGTTTTGAGCTTATTTGTAAGGACTGCTTTCAAGAGAGGATTGGGAATGTTTGGGCTTGGACTGCTTTGGGGATGCTTGGGCTTGAAGGTTTTGGCCCAACATGGATAATCCCAACATGGATATTCCCAACATGGATGTTCCCAACCCCCCCCCCCCCCCCCCCCCCCCCCAAGCTGGAAACCCCAGGAAACGCAGGGCACACGAGGGTGCGTCCTACCACAAACAAGAGCTGATCCTGGTCGTTACTCCTGCAACTGTGCGAATGAGGCACAGCTCCTGCGACATTGAGTTCAACGATCTCGATGGACTACTGCGCAACGACCTGCATCCAACCAAAACAGTTCCACACACAAACGACTGAGCAAATACTGCAAGCTACAGGAAATACTTCTCCATGCTTATCACGGCGCCTCATCGCCGGACTGTTTCTCACCTCTGAGAGCACTTCCGTTGCGGCCGCTGCTGCAGCCGTTGCAGCTGCCGTTGCCGTGGCAACCTGAGTTTTCAGCAGAAGCAGCACTGACATATGGCTTGCCGCTGTGCCCGATGCTGGGAACGGCAAAGCACGAAAGATGAAATGGCAGAAGTGTGTCCCTCCACCAGGAGCAAACAAGAAGGCCCAATCGCCGCATATAGGCGTTTGCCCACACCAACACGCATGCAAAAAGAATCGGAGAGTACAAAATAAACGACCAAATTCTCGCACACCGTGCTTGGCAAAGACACAGAATCAGCTTCCATCGACTGCAGGGACGGGGCCAGAACACTCACCAGTTGCTGATGCGCACGCAGTTCGCTGGACACCTCAGGCCGATTTGCGACCCCAAGCCCTCCCTGGTTCGCGCTAAACGCATCCCTTTCGCAATCCGAAAAACATTGTGCACACTCACCCAATTGTTCAACGCTTCCAACAAACGCCATACTCATGAGTCTTCCCAAGCCCTGGGATCCAGCAAGGTTAAACTGTTGCTGCAAACATTCGCTGTACGGTGTCTATTGAAGAACTTGTCCGGAAACCCGGGAGAAGTCTTTAAGTCTTTCCCTTCATAGCAATCGCAGCCTCGTTCCACATGCCTTTGTGCAAAGAGAATGAGAGTGGAGCCGCTTGCGGGAAACCCAAACCCTCCTGAACCCTAACAAGTCGGGGACTCGTCCAACACAGGTAGACACGAAGCATTGGTAGCTAATCATAGCTGCCACAGTAGAGCATGGCATGAGGGGGGCCGACGAAAGGGCCCCACGGATCCAGGTAACATCGTGAAACTGAAAGCGGAGAAGTCTCTCTCTCTCTCTCTCTGCATGCAAGGCCCCCCGAAAGCAGGCTGCCCCCGAAGGGCCTCTCTGTCTCTCTCTCTCTCTCTCTCTCTCTCTCTCTCGCGTCTTCATGCGTCTTCTTCCTTCTTCCGGCATGCCTTACCCCCGCTGGGGTCATCCGAATCGAATGGGCAGGTGAGTACCGGTATGGTGGGACTCCTTAAACCAGAGATAGCTTTCAGCCTGATGCTGAGGCGCCTGTCGCAGGTGATTCTCCATCTCTTTCGTAAGCTGCTCGCAGGAAGCAGCGGCTGCATCACAGCGATCCAATCGTTCACCGAAGCGCTCCTGCTCAACATGTGCAACGACTTGCTCACACAGCCACATGTATACCAAACATATCTTCAACACGACATGCCACATTCTGTAAGATGGCCTCTAAGGAGCTTGCTGCGACCTGGGCTGCTCGTTCGGCAGCCTCCAGATCCGGCTGACACACGTTTCGCTCGCTTTGCTTCAGTCCAAGATAGTCCCGAGGCAGGAGGCCTAGGGGGCTAGTAACAGCTAGTGCACTACCTAGCAGCACTGGTCCTGAAACAACCGCCCAGCGGTCAGTTCTCTACCTCCCCTTTCCCCTCACACCAGCCTGTGACCCCCAGCGTTCACAAGAAATTCAATGCTCAATACTTCGTTTCTTGCTTTGTGTCGTGCCCCATGCCTCTTTCCCTTCAACACACGTCTTCGCAAATGTGCAAGTAAGCAAAACCAAACCACCCAAACTCGGCACGTGACAAATGGGGGGGGGGGGGGGGGGGCGATTAAAGCCGCGGTAAGAAAGCGATCGGAAACTGCTTCCTGGAAAGCTTCGAGAATGTTCGAATACCTGACATGGAACTTGACAAACTGCCTGTGTTCTCAGCTGACAGACGAACTTCGTAAACACTTTAAGCACGCCAAGCTCCATCAAACTCTTACCCACAGTTCCATGCATCTCTAAAGCACACCCTGTATGCACAGTGGCATCTGAAAGGCATGCTTGAAATTGTCAAAGAACCGGTTTTTGCTGACTGTGGACTGTGCCAAGCTTCGTCTTTTCAGAAGGTGGTCCCAGTACCCAGATGTACGTCGAACTGGGACTGCACTTGGCACAAGTCAAGTTGAATATAAAGGCGATGCAGCAATGCCAAGGTTTCGGCTTGAGGCCTCGGGGCGCCACCTTCTTATCACAAGAAAGCGCAGGCGTCGGCCTGCCCTTGCACTTTGAGTCGAGTTCAATGGCGGTGGTGGAATCTTAACCAGAAGGAACGAGAAGCAGAAAACAACGGCACAGTCTAAAGATCTCTAGCTGCGCGCAATTTGGCAACCACCCAGCCTCGATGAACGAGTCGTCAGACCCACGGGAGAGAAACCCGATAACATCTCCTCAAGGTATGATGCATCACGCCACTGAGCTAGGCTTACGGGTTCTGAGCCCCAAAGATCAAAGACTGAGGGCTGCTTTGCTGCCACTACCAGCCAAGTTGATGGATGCCAGAGCTAATTGCAGCAGCGTCTCGGCGCGCCTCTTCCTGCTCACCAGCGCAAGGCAGACAGAGAGAGGGGGAGGGAGAGAGAGATACACATACATACACACACACACACATACACAGAGTGACAGACACACAGAGACTGGTGACCCATGAAAAAGCAATGTTATGAATCCGCGTAATACTGGAGAAACGAAGACGATCAAGCCAATGAATGCCATCAAAAGCAAATTGATGGGGCAACCTTTGCTTCCTCTACATACTACCAGTTTTGTGATATGAAAGCTCCTGTTCTTCTCTTCTGTAGTATGTTTCGATACGACAACTTCTCCGTTACCTTGAAAAGAAACCAAGGTAAATCCCTGCACATTCCATGGTACATGGACATGCAGGGCAGAAGGTCATTTTGCCTGTAGGAAAACCTCTATTTCTGTGACAATCAGATAGAAAATCCTCTAATTTCGCGTTTCCCTTTCCTCAATACTTTTTTCGCCAAATGTATGCTTCATCTAGAATGTCATAAGGTAGGCTCTGTTTCCTCAAAAAGCCATTACATCCTCTGCTTCTTCTCTTACGTGCACAAGTGCGGATCTCGATGACCGTCAAGCAACATGTTTCGGGGCGCGATCATTTGCGGTTCTTCCCTAAACCCTATACTACTATTTGCTTAAGAACCCCAAAAGAATTAACAATAGTTATCCCTATATTACCCTTAAGATTAGAGTCGTATAAGATCAGCACTTCAAGATCCCAGACCGAGGCTCGGCGATCTCGCGAGTGCTATCCATAGCTGCCCGAAGCTGCCGAATCTCCTGTGCCAGAGGCCGAGTTTGAGCTGATACCCCGGAGCTTAAGTCTGAGCTCGCTGGGCTGAAGCCGTTGGATTGACAGTACAGGAAATCACACGCAATCACAAACAATCAGCGCCCTCCCCCCACAGCCAAGGTGTCTCCCCACCTCGGCGGTCCGGACCTGACCAGCGCCGGACGTGGCCACCTGCAGACCGCGTCTCAGCGTCTCACACAGCAGGGTACAGCTGTGTGGCTTTCTTTCTTCTGGGGGGGGGGGGGGCCCCCTCATACGCACTAAAGTGCTAGGGACCAAGGTGATACATTCCAATGAGCTGCAGGTTGCCTGGGCGTTTCTTTGCAGCAATCGTCGCTCCAGGTCCTGCCGGAAGTCGCTCACCAGCTGCTGTCGCTCCTCAGGCCGTAGCTTCAATCGAGGGCTTTCGGAGGTTTTGGAGGCTTCCGGAGGCTTTCATATCACTTGAGCGACACTCCTCGTGCAGCACCTGCCGGTTCGTCTCGGTTAAGTTCATCTCCTCAGCGCGACTGGAAGGCACCATGCTGCAAGCTTCCCCACGCTTTTTTCGGTGCCAACCCGCTCTGGGATGCAGCTCGGCGTCCAGATCCTTGCGAAGCTCGGCGGCTAGCCTCTGGCTTGATCCCTGTGCTTTGACAAGGCGGACTTCGAGCTCTGCGCTAAGCTGCTTCATGTCTTCTGACAGTTTGTGGACGGTTCCTTGGTGTTGGGTACGGGTGTTGTCCAGGGTGTGCCGAAGCTCCTCCACTGCCATTTCCGATGCCGAATACTTCCTGTCCAATTTCAGCTCCATCTCTCGCCTCAGCTCCTCGGCCTGTCGTTGTGACTGAGATGCTCGAGCTTCGAGCTCCTGCCGCACTTCCCTTAGCAGTTGCTGGGAGGCCGTGCCACTGTCGGCCAGTTTCTGGTCGAACTCCTTCCGCAAGTCCAGAGCCACCTTCTGCACCCGCACGTCGTCGACGCGCACGTCGCTTTGAAGCTTCTGCCACTGCTCTCGTTCCGCAATCTGCGCAATCTGTGATTCAAGCTGACACCGCAGATCGTGCGATGCCAGGTCGACTTTCCTCTCCAAAGCCTGGAGCATCCGGCCTTCTGCATCCGATTGTAGACTCGAGCCTGACAAGAAGGCCATTGGCAGATCCTTCATGAAAGAGACCAAGTCCTGCACTTGCACCTGCAGGTGCTCAGTGCTCTTCTCATTGCCCTCCGCACGTTTGCTCAGGGCACTCTCCAAATCTCTCATCTGTTGCGTGAGGAATCGGAGCTCTTGACTGGTGGACAGGCTGATTGAATTGAGCCTGGTATCCACCTCATCCACCCTTTGCTCCATTCTTGGGTTTACACCGCGATCGGGTGCCAAGGCTTCAAGCTTCGCTTGCACCAAATCCATACGTCCAAGCAGGTCCTGGAAGAGTTTCTCGATCATAAAAAAGGAAAAATATTGAAGTTTCAGGAGAGCTGGGAGCCTGAGACGGCAACAGTCGGCCGTGAACTGAACTTTCCTGGAGTTTGAGGCAAAGAACAACCCAATTTATGGACCTGCTAAACAACCCTTTACAGACCGGCTGTGGGCAGAGCGCCCGCGGGTGCTCCCTCAAAGTCTGCGCGCGCACGCGCGCGCCAGCGTTCATATGAGGGTGTGCTTTGACTCGGAGCTCAGAAGGGAACGGGAGAACGTGCAAAACACACGTGAGGACTTCTAGCAAACTTGTCCGAAGGAAGCTACTGCTCGAGACGTCGTCTCCTGCACTGCTGAAGGCTTCTCCAGGTTGGCGATTTTCTCGGCTCGCCCGGCTCGCTCGGCCCGCTGCTTCTCTTCCACAGACCTCTGCAGGCCTGAGGCAAATGCCCGGACATCTCGCACCTCACGAGTCAGTTGGAGGAGCTGCTCTCCATGCTGCCTACAGGGAAGGCAGGGGTGCACAAAACCTCGAAAAAGGAGGAAGTGGGATGGCCAAAGATGACAGAAAGGGACATGTGAGACACACGTTTGTTTCGGGACTCGGCCACCTCATATCATCCTGCGCCTGCTTCTTCCAGTCCTTGTGGGCATCGCCCTGTGTTGCCCTAACCAGCTCAGATGTTCTCAGAGCCTCCAAAAAGTCCAATTGTTGGGAGAAGTGTTCTTCCAGCTGCTGGGAGTGGTTCTCCAAGGCAGTCAAGCGGGCTGTTGAGGGCTCAAGCTGCTGGAGCACGAACTCCTGGCACTCCACGCGGAGCGAGTCTGAAGCTTTCTGTAGGCTTTCCGTGGCCGTGGCCTGTCCGAAATCCTCGTCGGACAAAAGCGCGACTTCAGACTCAGTGTTCTCCAAGCGGTCAGTCAGCTTTTTGAGCTCCGCTGACGTATTATCCCATTGCGATGTAAGCCGGTCATGTACGGCGATCATGCTCTCGCCGACATGATCCTCAAGCTCGCACAGTTTCTGCTCGTGTCCCGCAAAGCGAACATCTAGGCTGCTCATGCTCTCCGCCAGACGCACCACCTGATCCTGAACTGATGAAGCGTCGTTGACGCCAAACCGCCGAGCTTGAGCTCTGAACTCGTTCAGGCGTGCGTCCAGCTCCTCACCCACTCGTCGCATCTCTGTCAAGCGCGCCTCAAAGTTGAACGTGTTGAACGCTGCCCGCACATCCTGCAATACCTCCGCGGAGTGAGACAGCAAGTAACACCAACACAAAAAACCGACAAAAGTTCCTTAGCAACGCATCAATCAAATGAAATGGCCAATCATTCAATAAACAAAGTGAGTCCACCCCTCAAACCAGGCCCCAAACTCAACCACACAAAGCAACTCTGCAGCAAAAGATCATCCCTTACCCGCTTGGCAACGGCGAGTCTAATGCGCGAAAGGCGTGCGTCTAGGAACACACGCTACCACATCAATCTCCACGCAACGTGTCCCTGCAAAATTCACCCCTGCCATAGCCGACCCTCACCCAGCTGTGTTTTCCGAGCCCGCCTCAGAGTGCATGGATGAGAGAAGCATTGCCACGCGATCCACCAAAGAGTCGATCTGCTTCTGCTGCGCTGCCACGGAAGCCCGCAGATCGCAAATGCCAGTGCCAGCCCACGTTCCCGAAGCCAAGCCCGCGATGGACATGTCTGCGTCCAGGAGAGATGACGAAAGGTCTGGACCTTCGAAATAAAGCCGTAAGCCCACACAAGGCACAGTCAGCAAACCGCCAGGTCTGAAAGCAGAACCAGCCTTGTCATAAAACAGAACCCGCAGACGAGTCGAAAAAAAACACAGCAAACCCTCAAGCGTTTTATTCATTAATGGGTCAGACGCCTTTTGTCCCGACTTGGTCCACACACGCCCGCACAGTGCCAAACCTTGGCCCAAAGTTGGTGCCAAGTCGCTGCTGCGGGCATAGAGAGCACTCGTACTCAAACCACTTGGAGCTATTCGCAAATTCCGCAGAGATGTCGAAGTCGAAGGCCCCTGAGCCCTTGGCCCCACTGGGACGAGCGGGGCGAGTCCCATGGCCATGGCGGCTTTAGCGGCTAAGGCTGGTACACAGAGACACAGAGGCACACCCCTGCAAAGGCTGAAGGCTCTAACATGTTCTACTTCTGCTACATTCTGAACAGCTCCTGCTGTGAAACATCAGTTTTGGAGGTGTGCTATCGGTTCCCTTCCGTGGTGCCACAACATTCAACGCCATGCATATGTTGAAAATCCGTGCTCAGAGCCATAAGAAAAAAACGCCACGCATTGAAACCAGAGTGTCCCCATGCAGCCGTTGCACTCAGCGTTATGTGCTCAAGCTCTCAGCTGCTTTCTTGGCAGTCTACTCAAGCATGCCTGCGCTGCGGGGCTGGCATCTGACATACTTGCGCCTTTGTCAGCGACAATGCCACTGAAAGCACGCTAATCGCTGCCGGAATCCTTTGAGAAAACATTCCGCCTGCCTGAACATGAAGGTTGCACTCCACTGCCTCGATAGGCTGTTGTGAGCAACAAGGTGTCCTAATTCCTAACTCCGAAAGTCATTCGGTGCAGCTAGGCCACGCTTTGTGATCCACGCTATCCTGCCCGCTTGCTCCTCCATCTGGTCCATACTATCATGGAACGAGTCCTGCCCATGGGGTCATGGGGTGCTTTTCACTGGTTGGACTTCCAGCGAGACGGGCTGCAGAAACACACAAACTGCATCAAGCCCAGAAAACACGAGGAAGGCAGCATCCATTAGAAGTTTGCGTAGACCTTTTGCAGGGCATCTTCTGCAGGGGCATCCCACGGAAACAACAAGGCTACTAGCCACAAAACAGATCGACAGTTGAGTTTTCTAGGCCATCTAGCCGAACTTGGGGACGCTTCTTCCTCGGGGGTGTGCGCACCAGCATATCCTCCATGCTGGCTCGAAGCAACTACCCTTTCTGCTCTCTGAGTCTGTAAGACACTGCGAAACCGGAGCCCACCGTTTTCTATACAGACCTACGAACTCTTTCACGCGCAGGGGGGGTCTCGTCAACACGTGAACAGGCGCTCAAACTTAAAATCGCAGGACTCCGACTAAGACTATGTTGCTACACAAATGCTTCCAACTTGCTCCCCATTTTTTAGAGACATGCCCGCGCCTCAGTTGCTCGAGTTTGAGAGCTGACGCCAGAAGAGCTCTCTGAAACTCGCGCAACCGGTTGCACCTGAAAAGGGTGCGCTGATATGGGAGAGACTGTGACTTTTTGGGTGACTAACTCCCCGGAAGCAGCGCACGACGTGCATACGAGCAGCTCCGGCGCTCAGGGCTGCGATGGCCTGCTCGCTGGTCAGCATCGTCTTAAGTCGCCTGACACGGTGAGATGAGGAATATGTCTCGCATGCGTCGTCGCATACGATGCCCCATGCTCTCATATACTCATATACTCATATAATCAAATACTCATGCTCCTCTACTCAGAAACTCATATACTCATATACTCATATACCCTGATTACTCTTCGCTGGGCCCCTTGGCCTCGCCTCAAGTGACGCAGGAGCTGCACGGCAAAGGCGAAGAGGCCCAGCCCGGTGAGTGTACAAACCACGAAGATGGGCGCTTCCACCAGAGCCGTGAGAGCAATGCCTGAGACGATCACAAGTTGCAAGCGCTCGCGGCCACGCTGATATTGTGCCAAGTGTCTGATGTGATGCTTGTCGTCGTCCTGTCCAACACTGAATCGGCTGAATCGGTTGAGCCTCTCAGCATGCCGTACCACCTCCGCTTGACAAAACGAAGGTTTTTTGGTGCCTCGGGCCTTGGGCCCTTCTGCACGAAATTGGATGAGGCAGCAACCCTCCATGTTTCGGCGGAAGCTGCCAACACCCGCATGGGTGAAACTGGATGATGATTATGTACAGATTCAGGGCTCATCGTCCTGCATGGCCAAACATGTTCTCTAGCGCAGAGATGCTCAGCGTTTTCGTGCAGGGCTTGTTGCCAGCCTGTTTGACTTCATCTGCCTCCAAAACATTGTCGATCATCCGGGTCACACCTTAGCCAACCAGCATGATGGTTGACAATGTTGTCAACAATCCTCATTCCAATGGCTCATTCTGCCTGCTCGGCCAAGGTATCAAGCATGGTTGATTCCAGCAACCGATTCCAGATCATTGCAGACCCAACGGTCCCTTCTCCACGTGAAGAGCTACATGGCTACATGTATTTAGAACCCGTTGCTCATGATAGCTTGACCTGGCATGCTTGCACCGCATCGCAGGTTCCCTTGCAGCAACAGCAGAAGCAGCACCAAACTGTTGGGTAACCTCCGTTAGAGATGATTCGGCTTACCTCGGTGAGGTGTCGCCATTAAGCAGTGGTTGAGGCTTGTTCAGACTCACTCCAGCCTGCTATGCCATGCCGGGGGAAGTGAAAGTTATTCGAACATCCCCACCTTAGGGATTTGGATTTGGGCACTCCAGGGAGTCTCTGGGGTTGGGCACTCTCGGGGGAATGTGGGGTTGGGCACTCCAGGGAGCTCTGGGGTTGGGCACTCCAGGAGTCTGTTGGTCTGGGCACTCCATGGAGTCTCTGATATTGGGCACTCCAGGAAGACTGGGGTTGGCACTCCAGGAAACTGTGGGGTTGGGCACTCCAGGCACTAGGAGTAGACCGGGCGAGGAGAAGAGTTCCAGGCGAGGAGAAGAGTTCCGGGCGAGGAGAAGAGTTGAGTTTAAAATCTTACAACCCCACACCGAAGGTTGGGAAAAACACATTGCCACATTATGGAGTGATAGTGGTGCATGTGTTTTGGTACTTTGGTGTTTGTCCTTGTGTATTGAATGAGACATGTTCGGGCATGGTGCCAATATCATATTTCGTTCGAGAACATTGCCTCTCACTGTGGCTCCTGCGGTCCGCGATATCCACAGCCAACCATCCATCACCGCCTTTTCAGTAAAAATTGTGCACCGCCTCTCCCTGCACATCAAGAGCAATCTCCGGACCTTCGCGGGAGCTGTAGTCCAAGTCGATAATGTCAGGTTCATCTGCCGCGCCACTTGGTGACCCACCTGCACAAGTGATGTCTGCATTGCAAGAATCGAAACTGGACTGCTTGCGCAGAAATCTGGAGAAGTCAAGCCGCCACCGAAGGAAACGATCTTCCACAAGTGAAAGCCCTTGCCAAGGCACGACAGCCGTCCTTACACACATGGTGCAGTCGTGCAGCAGCTGTGCAACTCTCCACTTAGCTCGGATCGGCACGTTCTCGTTTGTAGCTTTCTTCAGCCTCTTCCTCCTTGTGAAGGCGTTAAATATGCGCAAGAACTTATTACTCATCGGGCAGTTCAACTGGCCTGCTGCAAGAACATGCTCAGCCTCTCGATCGGGCTGCGGTCCTGCCAGTAACTTTTGCCAAGTGCAAGAGCCAATCGCACTCAACAAGGCTCAATATTGAAGCCGCTCCTCCTCTGATGTATCTGCATACCACGTGTACATGTGCTCTAGCATGGAAGGCGCCTCGGCATCATGATGCCAGAGCTAAGCCCAGATTCTGCATGTGCAAGTTCACCAGGATTCTGGCGATACCCCCGGCGAGCTTCTGTTGCAGGGCGCGTGCCGCTTCCGGGGAGGTCGGCGAGGCAGGCTCAGTCAGGGCCCCAGCATCTTCCTCGCAGATGGCATGTGTGTGGGGCAAGCAAGGTCCGGCCAAGGAAAGCTACAGCGGGCCAGCGCAGGATCCGCGCAGGAAGGGGACGAAGAAAAAATGGATTTGGGTCGGGATATGGCTGGGGGAAATGACAGAGTTTTTTCTCCTTCTTGAGTCTGACTACCTTGTGCGATCTACCCAAAGGGACAAATTATGCCATGCAGCACAAGATGGCCACGATTGAGCTACACGGAACCTGCGCAGATTCGTCCAGCTCTAGTGGCCGCGAGCGCGCAGACATAGGACTGCTGTCTTTGGCCTGCAGATAGCCACGGCTTGTAGCGAATGAAACGAGTACAAGGGCTCGTAATCCAAGAACTCAGTGTTGCAGGGCAAAAATATAGCCAGTCCGTCGCGCAAGCCTCTGATGCATTTCCTGTCTGTGGAGTGGAGGCGCCCGCCGACGCTGGAGGTCTTGTTGCATGTGCCAACAGGAAAGCATGCGTTACACTCGATCTGGCTCATGATCGCTCACTAGCACGCAAGTACATCGCCATCACAAAAAAAAGTGAGCCCGCTCTGCCACCAAAGCACATGCTGGGTCGACTCCATGGGACGCAGGTCTCGAGCCACACGTTCCTTGTTGCGAATGCTCAAGTGCTCAAGTTGCTCAGGGCCCTTGGAGCTATCCTACCAGGTCCTACCACATCCCCACCTCCCGTACAGCTTCTTGGACTTCCGTAGCCTCATCACCGAGGCTGGCATAGCCTGCCGGAACCATGTGGCATGGAGAAGTGGCAACAATCATGCAACACCATCACCTGCCTGGCGTTGCTCACGCAGCGTGGACCATGGCGTTCCTGGACCCTTCTCTGGGGGGCGATAGCCCTGCAGTGGGCGTAGCGGCATCAAGGGCTCAAAATGATCGCCTCGGCACTGGCAGAGCGCGACCACTGCAAGCAGGCAGGGTCTGGGAACTCACTTCCTCAGGTAAGAACCGGCTGTTTCATGGCCTGCTCTTCCAGTTGTGCGCTTGAGCTTTACATACCTTGCGTTTCAAGGAACTTAATGAACCGACGCTTCTAGGGAGAGCTCCGTGGTTTGGCTCTTGCTGCATCTCTGGTGCGTTGCTTCCTCCAGGGCTGCCCGGCGTTGCTGCACCCACTTGACGCCACTCTCGTAGCCGGGAAGTTTTCGAACCTGCATCGTTTGATCAATTGCTGCAGGGAAGCCAGGGATCCGCATGCCTGAGCAACGTCCGTCGTCGGAGGTGGCTTCGGCAATCCATCTTGGTGCTGACATGCAAGCCATGGGGAGACATTTTGGGCTGCTTTTTAGTGTCTGAGCTCCTGCGTCATGTGGAAAACCCGGCTCAGATTGGTACCCGTCTGAGTTCGGGAAGTTCTTCGCTCCTCCTTCTTTTGCAGCGCCGAAACAACTCCCACAGCCTGAGTCAAGAACTTATAAGAACTCACTAGACTTCCGACCTCGCAGGCTTTGAACAATCTGATGCGACAGGGACATTGAGAGGTTGACCTTCAGGATCTCTGGTCGACCGAGGAAGCCTCTTGAGCTCCGCCTCCGTCCGGTGGCCTGGTCGCAAGATGTCGCCGGACATGAGCGTGTGGACGTGGGAACAGAAACAAAATGGCATGCCTGAATGCGCTGCCGAGAAAGCTCCAGAAGCTTTTGCTTTTCCTGGTGACGTGATGTGACGTGTTTGTACGTGCGTCACGGCCCGCGTCACGCACATCAGCATATGCGTTTCCTCCGGGAACTCGTCCACCAGCTCCCGGAAGGCATCATTGTTGATGGCAAAGGCAAGCACCCTGTGCAAGATCTCAGCAATACTCAGCATTGGCTTTTCTCTTTTTTTTGAACTGCAGTGGGGCGCATTGGCACGAGCCATTTAACACCATTCCGCAGGTGATCCCCAAGGTCCTGTCGTCTGCACGGACCGTTTGGGAAGCAGCGGTGGCAAATCCCAAAGCCACAAGCTCACCAATGAACCTCAGCATGGTCCATCCGAACATGCGTGTATGGCACCTGGCTCGCTCACTGAAAGAGTCCAAGATGGTCCAAGGTTCTCCCCCGCACCAATCTTTGCAACGACTTTTCCTCGGCAATGCCGCCAGTCTCGGCCAAGTCTGTTGGCACCAGTTCTGAGGATCCTGCCTGCCTTCTCAACGGACGCCATACCTGAAAGTTGATTCCAGTCTTCTTCTTCTTCTTCTTCTTCTTCTTCTTCTTCTTCTTCTTCTTCTTCTTCTTCTTCTTCTTCTTCTTCTTCTTCTTCTTCTTCTTCTTCTTCTTCTTCTTCTTCTTCTTCTTCTTCTTCTTCTTCTTTCTTCTTCTTCTTCTTCTTCTTCTTCTTCTTCTTCTTCTTCTTCTTCTTGGGTGAGGGGGGGGAGAGGGGGGAGGGAGGTGTGCTTTCACATGCTTTCACCATTCGCCCAGCTCGGATCGCGCCTGCTGGGTCTAGGGCTCTCCTGTTTTGTGCCACCCCCTATCTGATTGGGCTATCTTGGCCTCCCGTAGCTGAACGACAGCCCACGCCGCAGAGGAACTGACTGTTCTGCGACATGCAGGGGAAAAAAGCCCGAGGTCTTCCGGTCTTCCACAGGCGTTTTGCACCCGGCCAACCTTCATGAGCATCGCTCCATGGCCATCCGATGGCCATGAGAAGAACCCCTTACGAACCGCATGGCTAAACAAAGGCAAAAGCCCATCACGTCCCTTGGCATCTTTCTCTCCCGTCGAAGTTGACATGTGCCTCCCGGCCTAAGCCGGAAAAAGACACGAAGTTTCGGGGCCGGGGATCCTTGAACCCCAAGGCCTGAAGCTTCAAGCCTGAAACGTCCACCTTCAGATTCCGAAAGTTTCTGGAACCGGGCTTCATATATTAACATTTCTGAATTTCAAAAACTTCGCAGACGAAACAGGGCCCCAAACAATTGCCCAAGGAACTGGCCCACGAGCTGCCCTCGTGGGCACTTTAGTACCAAAACCGGCTGGTGGTGCTAATGGACGCAACATGAGGGGCCTCGCTTTTCAAGTTTTCCCATTGCTTTACA